CATAAAGTCTTTATATATAATTTTTTCTTTTCTTTTTTTTTTGTCAAGTTTTTGTTTGTTTTACATATATACTCATATAAATATATTTGTATATATAATACTAACTATTCGTGTGTATAGTTTAAAAAACAAACAAACAAACAAACGAACAAACAGACTAATCTATGATTACTTAAATTAATAATATTATATTTTATAAAGTAATCACAGTTTTTATTTTTTTTTTTTAATTTTTCCTTTTTTTTTTCCCCCTCCCCTCCCCCTTCCCAATTTCGAAAAATAAACAAAATTCCCCTCCCCTCCCCCTCCTTGCACAATATTTGCAATCTATTATTATTATTATTATTATTATTTAAAAAAAAAAAAAATTCAATACAAAAAAGTTTCCAAACGCGAATCCATTAAAAAAAAAAATGTCGTCTTAAATATATATATTTTATTTTATGCTAAATTTTTTTTATTTCGGGAAATAATTTTTAATCAAAAATGTTGTTTTTTTCATGACCTTTGAACTTTGAACTTTTCTTTCATTCGTGGAAAATAAATTAATAAATTCTATCCATATAATTCACGCGCTCTATCTTTGTCTTTAAGTAAAAAAAAAAAAAAAAGAAAATTTTAACGTCCAGATCACAGTTAAGTCTTAACGTTTTTTTTTTTTTCTCTCTCGTGATAATTAATCAAAGGAAATTTTTCCTTTGAGACATTTTTTTTTTTTTTTTTTACTCACGTGACACAATAAATAATACACACAAGTGCAAAAATAAAAAAAAAAAACAACCCCTAAACGAAATCTTAAATTAAAAAAAAAAAAAAAAACAAATTAAAAGTTTTCTTTTTTTTTAAATTCACAATAATATTAATAATAATAATAATTATAATAATAATAATAATAATAATTTGATGATTATTATTATTATTATTTTCTTCGCTTTCACTTAGGCAAATTATTCTTTGGCACTTAATCTATCTAATATCTGTTTTTTTTTTTTTAAATTTTTAAAAATTTTTTCATTTTACAAAATATATATGGCATGAAAAAATGTAGTAATAATAATAATAATAATAATAATAATAATAATAAGTGAATAATTACATTAAAAACCATATTATTGATAACTACAATAAAACATTTAGGATATCGTCGTAGTATTGCATGTAAAAAAATAGTTTTTTCTTTTTTTTTTTTTTTTTTCTCTCATTATCATTATAATAAGTATTATTATTATTATTATTATTATTTATTAAAAGTTTATTATTTTCATTATTATTATTATTATATCAATTATCATTTCTATTTTAATCATATCATAATGAGCAGTTAGTTTTGTATTAATACAATTTTTTTTTTTTTTTTATTTATTTTCATTTAAGACTTACTAATTTTTATATTATTATTATTATTATTATTATTATTTAATTTTTTTATCATTCGAGTAGTAAAAAAAAAAAAAAAAAAAAAGAAAATGAAAACAAAAAAAAAAACAATTTTTTTTTTAATAATAATAATAATAATTATTTCATTATCAATTACTTACATTAAAACATTCATCAGTTTTTTATTTTATTTTTTTTTTTATTTTTAATATTTTATACTAAATTAAATTTTGAATTTTATCCTTTCCACAAAAAAAACAAAAAGCCATTTTATCATTATCATTATTATTATCATTATTATTCATACAATTTTACCCCTTTTCGCGATAAGTCTTTAATCGGGGGAGAAAGAAAAAATTTTTTTTTTAAGTATAAAACATTATATAATAAATGCACACACTTTTACATCTTTTTCCTTTTTTTTCCTTTTTTTCCTTTTTCTTTAATAATAATAATAATAATAATTGTTTTGTTTTTTATTAAGGCCTTTTTCGAAAGAACCATCAAATTTTATAGAAAAACAAAACAAAACAAAAACATAATTAAAATAATAAAAAAAAAAAAACAAAAAAAAAACAAAAACTTTGGGGTGATTTTCTTCCTTTTTTCTTTTCCTTTTTTTTCATTATCATCAACATCACTATTATTATCATTATCATTATCATCATCATCATGATAATATACATTTTTTATCATTTTTTTTTTTATTAATTTCAGTACATTTGTCTATATTATATATATTTTTAAAAAAAAAAAATTACTAATAAATTAAACTTGCAGTCTGTTTGTCTGTCTGCCTGCCTGTCGATGAAACTACGTCAATTTATCATTATTATTATTATTATTATTATTATTTTTTATAGCGAAAAATTAACGTGTGTGTGTGTGTGTGTTTACGCATTTGTATTTACATATTTATATACAAATGTGTGTGTTTGTTTGTGTGTATAATAACAAAATACACAAACGTGTATGACGTTTTTTTTTTAAACTCGGAAAATTGTAAATAATAATAATAATAATAATAATATTTATTAAAAATTTTATTACACACGTGGTGACGATTTTTTAAAAAGAGATTTTACAAAATTATTCATTCATTCAATCAATCAATCAATCAATTAACGCGAATTAAATTTCGCAATCGTTCGTTTATTTTATCATTATTAACGTTATCACACTCATCATCATCATCATAAATGAGATTTTATTTTAATATTATTATTATTATAATTAATTAATTATAAAAACGTTTTCTATATAATCAAGGCTTTTTCTTTTTGTATTTCCTCCATTTTGACTAATTTTCTTTTCTCTCTCTTTCCTTTTTGTTTTTTTAACAACAATGTACGTTTTTCTAAATTTTATTTTTATTTATTTATTTATTTATTTTTTTTCCCATTTTTCATTTTTTATAAACTTAAACTAATGCACGAAAAAGGCGAAACACACAAATTTTATTTTATTTATTTATTTATTTTTTATTTTTTTTTGGCTTTTTTTTTACTTTTTATATTTTTTTTTTTCCTTTTTTTTTTGTAAATTTAATAATAATAATAATGATATTAGAAAAAAAAAAAAAAAAAAAAACACTTCACTTCGCGAAATTCTTTCTCTTTATAAATAAAAAAAAAAAAAAAATTTAAACTTAAATTAATTCATCAATAAACGTGTGAAGGGGGGGGGGAGGAAATATAAAAACTAATAAAAGTTTTTCTTTCCTCTTCCTCTTCTTCTCCTCCCATCTTCTCTTCTCATCTTCTTTCTTCTTCTCCTCCTCCTCCTCTTCTTCTTTTCATATTTTAAGTTCATTTACATCTAATAATAATAATAATTAAAAAAAAAAAAAAAAAAAAAAACAATATAAACGACAACAACAAATTCTTATTTGGGTAAAAGTACACACCCACAACCCCCTCCACCCCCTTACATGACTTTTCACGTGGTGTGAATAAACCCCCCAAAAAAAAAGGATCCCACACAAAATCAATTCAAAAACGAAAATTTTAAATGTACCCCCACAAATGAGAAATTCGTTTGTCGTCTGCTTCAATTACACAAATAAACTGTTTTTTTTTTTTTTTTTTTTTACAATTTATTGGAATAATTTATCAGTTTTTAATACTTTTCTAATCCATTTTAATCATTATCATCATCATCATTTCCTTTTTTCTTATCACTTTCTTATCACTTAACCAAACAAATTTTTATCAATAGAAAAAATCATGTAAAACCTCTTTACTCTTTTCCCTTTTTCAATATATTAATTCACTATGAAAATAAATCCACTCTTTCTATCTCTTTCTCTCTCTCTCGTGACTATTTATATTTAACGTTTTCTTTCATATTAAAAAACAATGGTTCTTTAATATATATATATTTATTTATAATTAAACTAGAAAAAGTAAAAATAAGTTTAAATACATATATATAAATATATGTATCTCCATTTTTTTCATTCATTTTTCATCTTCATCCCCCTTTACAAAAAAAAAAAAAAAAATCAAATCAAAACCTATCAATTGTCACCGTAAATTAATAATAATATAATAATAATAATGATGAAAATCAAATTCCTGACAACACAAAATGGCGAATAATCGAATGGAAAAAAAGTTTTTTTTTTAAAACAATTTACGGTGACAAAGCAAACAAAAAATAATAATAATAATTTTCTTTTTTACAACTAATCCTAACAATAAATTAAGAATACCAAATTTTTTTTTTATGTTTTCTTTGCGTTTTTTTTTTTTTTATACAATAAATAAACAACTAGAAAATAAACTCTGAAATGAAAATAAAAAAAAGAAAATCGTTCGAGAAAACAAAAGAAAAGAAAAAAGAAAAGAAAAAAGAAAAGAAGAGAGATAAATATAAAAGTGTTGTGGTAAAGTAACAATACGTAGGATGCACAATTTGAATAATAATAATAATAATAATAATAATAATAAAATAAATAAATAAATAAATAAAAAAAATAAACGCATTCAATTTATCATCATTTGATTTATCTTTCTCTATATATGTATATATAAAAAAAAAAAAAATTTTTCAACAAAAGAAAAAAAGAAAAAAAGAAAAACTATCAAAATAAATTTTTTTTAGAGTCTTTCAAAAAAAAAAAAAAAATAATAATAATAATAATAATAATAATAATAATGAGTGCACCCTCTATTCCATTCGAAAAATCCAATCGGATCGAAATTTTCCTAATCAATCAATCATTAATCAATCAATCAATCAATCATTAATTAATTAATTAATTCATTCATTTTGATTTTTTCCCCTTCTTTTCAATTACAATTTTTTTTTTTTTTTTATAAATAAATAAATTTAAAAAAGAAAAAAAATTTTTTTTTTTTTTTTAAAACTAGTAATAGTAGTAGTAATGTAAATTTTTTCTCCGTAAATAATAATAATAATAATAATAATAATAATAATAATAATAAATCCAAAGGGGAAAAAAAAAAAACAAAATGATGAGGGGGAGGGGGGGGGAAAACACAATTTTCGAATGAGAGAAAAAAAAAAAAAAAAATTTTTTTTTTATAAACGTTTGAAAGAAAAAAAAATACAGATATTAAGAAATAGTGATGAAGAGTACAACACTGAGGGTGAAGACACTACTTTGGTTGCTGGTAAGTTTGATAATTATCGTCTGGAGAAGCTGTGGCCGAAGCAGGTTCCGGATCGGCTATTGGCACAGCATGAATTATGGTCGATGGTGGAGGTCCTGTCGTGTAATACGAGTATGGATGTGGGCTTGCTATGTACTAAAAGTGTAAAAAAAAATTATTTGTAATCGAATTGTATGTACTTCCCTTGAGAATTCAACTTTTGAAATTGAAAACCTACCGCTGACCCGGGAGTACCTATTTGAAGTGCATTCATGTGTGCAGTTATTTGAGGTATCATCGTTCCATACTGTACCGGACTCGGGTCACTACTCATCATCTGCAACCAAAAAAAAAAAAAAATTGTCATCAGAACGAAAAAAAATAAAGAGGCGGCGGTGGAAATAAAAATTAAAAATGATTACAAAATCACGCCACTTACCACAGATATACCTCGAGCAGCATTATCATTTTTATAACCGTGGATAGCAGGGGTGGCAAGTTGGCACGTGAATTGCTCCTGATAATAAAGATTAAAAAAATATTAATATTTCATCCTAACGGGGGGAAGGAGAGGAGGAGGGGGGGATTTTTTTTTACACGAAACCTACAAAACTATACTTACATCAACTTGAGCCATGTGTGGATGCGGCATTACGAATTGCGGCACCCAGCTCGTGGCTTGTAAAGAATAACTAGGAACGGCAGGAGCTGTACCGTAATGACGACCGTACTGACTAAGAGCAGCGGGTAAAAGATGCTGAGTAGCTACTCCATTTTGAGTCATGGTATTTGGATCGAATGCAACAGGAGTACCCTATAACAAAATTAATAACTCATAACGATACCTTTAAGGAAATATGTATTTGTACACAAGTGAGTGTTCGAATGTACTTACTGCCGCAACTTCCGCCGGATCTCTCCACGAACCCCTCTGATCAGTTTTATAAAGTGTCCGTTTTTTATTACCGCCATCGGCAAATTTAACTAGCAGTGGTTCTTTCGAACCAGGAACCGAACGTCCGTTGAACAATTCAATTATTTGTTCACATTTATCTTTAGACTCCATTCTGCAAAAAAAAAAAAAATCAATTTGTTTATTACTTTATGCGATTAAGGAAAAAAATGATTTGAAAAATGAAAATTTCATTTTTTTACCTAGCAAATCCGACACCTTTACTCTGACCGTTTGGATCTCGAAGAATTCTTGTTGATATAACTTGACCGTATTGAGCCAACATGTTATCCACGTCATTTTCTTTGTAATGAGTTGGAAGATTAGCAATGTATAAATTTGTCGGATCTTGTTCTTGTTGCTATATATATATATTTTAAATATAAATATTTTTTATTAGTAATGAGAATTTCAATTAAATATTTATCAATTTATTATTAAAAACGTCTTCCCAGACTTTAATTAAACCTTTTTTTAAAAACGTTTTTCTTTTCTTTTTTATAAAAATTTTTCATTTTTTTATAACCGTTAATGAAAAAAATTTAAAAAAAAAAAAAAGGAAAAATTCTTTTCAAATCTAAAAATTTTTTTTTTTTTTTAAATTGACACCCAGAAGTTTTTTATACTACTCATGCATCTATTTAATTTTTTTTTTAATACGATTTCCATTATTATTATTATTATTATTTATTATTAATTATTATTTCACTACATTTAAAGAGTTTTTTTTTTTTTTTTTTTTATTTTTTTTAATTTTCTAACTTTATCATCGCAACAAAAAAAATAACTATTTATTTTATTTATTTAAACTAATTAGATATTAATATTAAAAAAAAAAAAAAAAAGTGTGTTAATTTTTATTAGTTTCAAATCGCGAATATTG